AAGATTCTCAGCCCCTCTGGCCAAGGGTGAGGACAGTGGGAATTGGAAGACCAAAGCACCCAGCTCAGAGACCCTCCATTGAGATTCTGCAAGAGATTCTCTTCTACTGAGAGAGCTATCGCTCGTTTTCCCATCAGGTGGGACAGATATTTTTCCATCCCAGCCAAGTATAAAAGTCATCACGAGTCACAGTCTGGCTGAAACTATCCAGAGAGGATCCTTCTTCCCGGACCCTTGCTAAGTCAAGAGGGGGGGAAACTCAGGGTGTGCGGGACGGGTGTCCAAGAGCTCCCCCCCCCCTATCAACAGCACAGCCAAGCAGGCATGAGGCAGAAGCCAGGGACTTCCCCACAAAGACAGCAAGGAGGGGCGGGCCTCCCCAAATATACATCAAAGAGGCCCTCCCACCTGTCTCCAGAAGGCGGCTGCCCTAGTTTGACCGCAGCAAAGGAGTCTCCCTGGCCAGCTCTCATCTGCCACGGCTGAATGGCCCAGAGGGACCCCTCTCCTGGCCCAGAGGCAGCCGGGGAGCTACCCCTCGCCAGGGGGCACAGCGGTCCTGTCTCGGGACCGCTGGGCAAGGCGGAGCTCGCCCATCTGCTCCTCCTGGCTCCGAGGCGCCTCGGAGGGGCCGAGGAATTTCTCACAGCCGCAACTGGAGGCTGCTGATGACAGTCCGCTGGCTCCGGTGCACCGCGACGAGAGGTGGACAGCTCCCCATTCATTTCCCCCCCCCACCGCTCCGTTCCTTCCATCTAGATCTCGATGGAGGCGAGGCGAGGCTCAGCAATGCCGCAGGTGGCACAGACGGCGTTGCGCAAAACGCTCCCGGTGACCCGGTACCCAAACAGTGGCGCAGGGGCCCACCGACCCCATCAGCTGGACGAATTGGGCTCTGGCTCCGTTTAAGGGAACCCTGGGGCGCCTCCCTCTCAGCCCCGGCTTGCCGGGAGCCTAGCGCACCAGCACCGCCTTGGCAGGAAGGGGCAACAGCAGCAGCGGGCCCCCCAGGCGCGCGCGCTTGGAAAGGTGCCCAAGTCCGCAGGCAGAAAGAACCAGCAGCCAAAAAGCCCCGCGCCCGTTATTCAGATGCTCTCGGGGTCCCGGTCCCCCTCTCTAGGGAGGCAGAGGAGGGTCCCGCCGGTCCTTGCTCTCCTCCAGCTCCGGGCGTCCTCGGACAGCGCGGAAGGGCGAGAGGGCGCACGGAGAGACAGAGGCGCAAAGAAGGCTCCGCGCACTCCCGGCGCCGCGCCGCTTCTTCCAGGCTCTCGGCACCGCGGCAGGGAAGGCAGGAAGGGGCGCCCCTCGGTACTCTAGACGCTCTTGGTCCGTTCTCCAGACCGGGGACCCCCGGGGACGACTTCTGCGCGGGGTCCTCTGCGTTCCCGGGCGGTGGCAGCAGCAGCGCTCTGCGCCCTCGCGCCATGGAGTGACGGGGTTGGGGAGCTGTGGGGAACGGGGGAGCGCAGCCCGAGCCGGGTCCGTCCCGAGGGGGCTTCTCCCCAGGGTGGGCGAGCTTGCCTGGTCGCTGGTCACGCCGGTAGTCCCGTCCACCCGAGTTCTTGCTCCCGGCGGTGAGCGCAAGCGGTCGGCCCCGTCCCTCCTCTTTCTCTCGCTCCTCTTCTTGTCCAGGGAATCTCGGCTGCGCTGCCGGCAGTTCTTGTAGGCGCAACTCGGCGGTAGTTATTCCGCAGCCCTGCGTGGGGGGCTGCTAGCCCCAAATCTCTCTCTCTCACACACACACACACACCCCACACCGCCACGACCGAGAGAGGCTTGCACACACACACCCTCTCCCCCAACGGAGGGAACGAGGCGTCCGTCTGGCACCCACGCCTGGCACTCTTGGCGCGGCCGGGATTCTCTCCGCTGGACCGCGAGCGGTGCTGAAATCCGGCAACTGAACACCTTTAAAAAGCCTGGTCCAAGCTTTCCGCCACGTGGGAATCGCCAAACACCAACCTCTTCTCCGCTTCCCTAGCGCGAGAGATGAAGCCCCCCGCCTCGTTCCGTCTAATAATCACTGAACCCCGGGGCCGTTTTGGGAAAGGGGTCGAGGAGCGCAGACCGTGGCATTAAACGCTCCCCAGCTCCCACGGGTGGGAAGGGGCCTGATCTCAGGGGCGCCTCCTTCCCCCCCCCCGCTTTCCCGTCAGGGTCTCTGGAGCCTCCCCCCCCCGCTGGCGGGCTGATTGATGGGCCTGGAATGGACCTTATTCCTCTCTCGCAGGCTGTTAACTAGGTGACTTTCTCCCCCCCCCCCACAAAAAAAAAAGAGAAAGCCGTCCGCAGAGCAACCGGCTTATCTTAATTGGAACTTTCTCTGCGCGGGTTTTTTTTGGGGGGGGAAGGCAGATCATTTATAGGTGCGCGCAGTGGCGACTTCAACGGGGGGGCGGAGCGAGAGAGAAGGGGGAGGGGCTCCCTCCTTTTGGAAATCGGAGGGGTCGGATTCCCAATTTTCCTTCTGCAGTTGCCGGTATATCCGAGCCAACAAGAGGAGGGAGGACGCCCCATCCCACGCGACCCCCCCCTCGCAGCGGTTCCCGAGCAAACGCACCCGAGGGAGGGTCGCTGCGAGCCCAGCCACTCAGGACCCCCCCCCGGGATCTTGCCGGGGGGGGAAACGGCAGCGCCCCTCCGCCTTCAGAGGGTCCCGGTGCTAGTGTCGTCTGGGGGGAGGGGGGGTCGCGGAGCGAAGCATCTTTTAAGGAAGGGTCCATTGCTGGGGGCGCGGGGGGGGGTCGGACTCAGGCCAAGACCCGCTGAGAAAAAAATGATCCTGGATCTCCTGGAGATCGGCCCAAAGACGGAGGAGACCCCGGAGGAGTCAGGGATGGGGAAGGGGCTTCGGCAACTTTGGCACTGCACCCGGCTAAGTCCCGCGTTAACGGAGCCCCTCGGGAATAAATTCATTCCAGCCGGGCAGGAAGATGCTGAAGGTGGCTTTTCAGGAGTCAATGCCAGAAACCTTTCTAAGAAAGCTGGCCTTTATTCTCGAGCAGGCCAAGCTCGGACTTCGCTTTCGAAGAGCGGGGTTTTAGCCGTCCGGGAGCCAGCAACCAAGACCCCCGAGGGGCTCCCCGTCGGCGCAGCGGATGAAGCGCCCGGCCGATAGGACGGAGGGCGGCTGAGCGCCCCCTTCGCCTCGGCGGGACCGGACGGCCGGCCCGCGAAACGAGCGGAAGAGTTTTCGGCAGTTTCGCACCTGGGGCCAAGCCCCCCACCCCGTTTGCCATCTCCGCAGGGGGGGGAACCGGGAGGGAGGAAACCGAACCCCCACTCGACTCGGAGAGACCCCCCCCGCCGGCTCCCCCAGAGTAATTTCGGCAGTCACGTGTCTCCAGTTTTTATTTATTATTATTATTATTATTATTATTATTATTTTATTATTATTTTATTATTATTATTATTATTATTATTATTATTTATTGTTATATAATAATAATAATAATAATAATAATAATTATTATTATTATTATTATTATTATTATTATTATTCCACCACGATCCTGTTTTCCGATGGAGGCGGCGACTTCGGAGGCGAAACGCTTTCGCGAAAGCGTTTCGAAATAGCTCTCCGGGCCTTTTCGCCCTCCCGTTAATTTTATCGGGGCTGGGATTGCAAGGGGTCGTGTACCGTGCAGACGTTTTGCAGGAGTGCATC